ATTTTTAAATTGCTTTTTTTTAAATATACAAATTTGAGCCTTTTTTTAAGAGTAGTACATAGCTCATAGGCGAATATAAAGGTTGCAATTTCAAACGTCCGTACATATATACAATTTTTAAAAAAAGATGTAAAAAAAGGGTTCTAGATAATATGAAATACCAAATTGCCACCGGTAAAATTTTCAAAATTGTGTAATGTGAACCCCCAAGTATCGGGCGATAAAAAAAGGTTTGACATCGAGTCGCCTTTCAAAATGTGCACCCACGCCTATTAAAGATCAAAACATTTCGGTCTTTTAATTTTTGTACACCGCGACATGTTTCAGAAAATACCGCAAATTCGAAATATTTACGTAGTCGAAATCCCTATTTCGAAAAAAAGGCTTAAATAAATCCAATTCTCCAATTCGATTTTATTGAATAGTGTGCCCATTTAGCATCACCCAATTGCTTAAATTTCCCGGCGACCGCTTTAAATGAACAGCTTCCTCTTACTAAGGAAAGCGTTTAATTGTTTTTGGTAGGTACAGAAAAAGGGTCAACGAATCTACTCACACTGAGCGACCTTTTTCTACATTTTGCAAATGAAGGACGATGATTAATTAGGAATTTAATGGACATACTTGATTATGTAAAAATAGCAATAGTTTACGTTTTGCGATAGCGTTTATGTTTAGTACATGTGATTATTTTTAGACTAATCATTGTGGAAATAATTTTTTCTTTAATTACCTACATGATTGTTTATCTATTCACATTACATAGATTACGATCTACTAATTGCAAGAAAAACAATTTGCGAAACGGTTAACTGTTTTGTTTTTTTTTGTAATTATGTGGCAAAAAATACCTCAAGTTGAATTTACATAATAAAATAATTACCTACTATGGTAAATGTTTGTCCGCCTATCCACCGAAATGTACCTAAAAGTTAGCAAATTTCAATTTCGTTGTATTCTTTTAAAACTCTCCAAAGGACTATGTAATTTTTTGCTGTCACGAATTATGTACAAAATTTGGTTCCAATCGGTTCACCCGTTTAACCGGAAATAAGAGTACAGGCAGACAGACAGATAGACCGACAGACAGATCGATCAACATCATCGAGATTTTATTTGATTCGGATTCCTGGGATTTCAAAACATGTAATTCCGTCAAAAACGTGTGGGGTCATTTTTTACACATAATTTTGAAAAATATTTGAAATGAAAAAAAAGTGAAATAGATGGAATAAATTTTGAAATGAAAAAAAAGTTTAAAATATCGCTTTTCTCTAAGACTTAGCCACTTATTAACGAGCGACCGAGCTCGTTGATGATTTGAGACCTTTTGCCCGTCCGGCTGTACATGATAACTCGCGAACGGTTTCGAATTTTCCAATTCTGTTTTCAGATAGACAATGGTAACGGGACTAACTGGTTAAATTTTGCTCATTTGAACTTTCTGTCCGTCCGTCTGTGTTTGTTCGTCGTGTTTTCTACCTGAATATTATGCGAGGGACACTAGACAAAAAAAGGCACAAAACACCACACAAAATGCAAGGTACCTAAATTGTTACAAGGAGTTCAAATTCCATTCCACCCAATTAACTTCATTGAAGGTATGGAAAATTATCTGTAGAATTTCGAACCGGAGGACCCGGAGAAATAATTATGATATCGAAGTGAACGAATATTCTAGAACGGATTCGAGAAAGACCAAGAATTAATTCCAATTCAAGAAATCAAGAAGCAAGAAGAGAGGGGGGGGAGATCGGAAGATTCAAAGAAGCTAGCCGCATATAAATTTAATTAATTAATTAATTAACCAAAACATTTGAAGATTTAAAACAAGATAAAAGGGAAATTAAGGAAGAGGGAAGAATGAGGAGTCAACTAATCATTTTTAACAAGTTGGAGGAAGTAGGAGAGCAAGCCGAAGATGTTAAAACGACAAGTAATTCTAGAAGAAAGATTAATAAAAGCTCATGAAGATCTTTTGAGAGCTGGCGAAAGTGCAAAAGGGACAAAGATTTAAATACGGTTAAAAGACCAAAATTTCGATACTTACAAAACGTAGCTTGCGAAGATGCGAAGGCAATAGACGGCTTTCGAGAATCGGTATTCCACTAACACTAATTTTAGAAGAAAGATTAATAAAAACTCATGAAGATCTTTTGAGAGCACAAGAATTCAATGTAAAGCTTAAGAAGAAACAAGAAAAACGAATAGCTGGTTTAGAAGGAAAGAAAAGGAAGCAGTGTTACTACAAGACAAAAACAAGAATTTAGAACAAGTCGAAAGAGTAAAAGAAGAAGTAGAGCTAGCACAGAATTCCAATTTATTAGGAGGAGAGGAATTTCACGAAGACAAAGAAGAACTTAAAGGAAAAATTACCGAGACCAGAGGAAGAAATTAGTACTGAAGAAGAGAAGATTTATACTACAGGATTTTTGAAGCAGAGGATAATTAAAAGAAAGTATAACCAAACGATAACGATGAAAAGGATGAAAACCAATTGTGAAGACAGATTTAAAGAAAAATTTTAAGAGCTTTCGGAAAGAAGAATTATTTAAAAAACCAGTTGATAAGATAAGACGGAAGAGAAAAAATAAAAACAAAGAAAATGTGAAAGAAACATATGAATAGTCGTTTTATACATAGAAGTTAAGTGTTTAGCTTAGTCAAGAAAGAAGAAAACTTTAATTTTTAATAAAGTGAAATGGAGTCAAGTCTAGTTGAGTGAAGTTAAGAAGTTAAGTGAAGTTTGTAAAGAGTCATTTTATATGTTTAGTGAAGATTTATGAAGACAAATGAAGTAAAGTGAAGTGTATATAATTGTTTTTTTATTGAATAGGTTTAGGTTTTTAGGAGTTGTTTCACATTGATTGTTTAAAAGATTTTAGAATTTTTGGGGATAGATTTTTTTTAGGTTCTTTGTTTTTTGAATAGGTTCAGGAGTTTTTAACTGGTTTAGTGGGTATGATTTCTGTTAGGATTTTTAGAATGTTTTGATTTTTTGAACATTTTTTGTACGGAAAGCCCCCGTTTCTTTTATTGTTGTTTTTCAAATTTCATTAGGTTTTCTTCGTTTTAAACAACTGAAGGCAGTAACGTAACTGTAGAGGTCAATTGGGATCTAATTTTTATCAATTTTTCTCAAATTGTCATTGCAAATGCGATAAATTTTTATTTTAAAGGTAGATCCTTTTTGGTTTTAGATATTATTGGGAATTGTAGGTGGTCGAAAATCAGATAATTAATTTGTCCGATAAAGTCATCTGCGGTGAATATTGCTCGGGATATTACGGGCTGCGATAACGAAAGGGAACATCAAATTCGGTGTTTTTAGTAGCCATATAACCTTCCATTGCTTAGATCATCATACAGATAAAAACCGTGGAAATGTTGGAATCAGGAAGTCATCTGGGGATTGGCGACTCAGACGCAAAGTAAAAATATAGTTTATTCTGGATTAAAGTTTAAAGAAGCTATCACCACAATCCAGGCCACAACCGCATTGTTATTCCCAAGCAGAATAGACTCGGACGTGTGTCGAAAGAAATGAAGTCTACTTCTCAACGTAAAAATAGGTTATGATGGGGTGAAATAAACAAAAATCCACCGTCAAACCAACAAATTAAGCCAAGGGTAGTGAAACCATTATTCATAAGCGGAATAAGGCTTCCACGAGTGTCTGGGGGTGAAGTCAATTCAACACGATAAACATAATTAAGTATTGGTGGGAAGCCTCCGGAGAGGAGGCAAATATTCTGCGAAGGAGGAAAATTTATCTTACCCAGAGCACGGGATCTTGTTCGCTTGGTAAAATTTGTAACAGTTCTGGTTCTAAAACGATTTTGGCAGCTAATATTCCAGGACCGAACTTAATGGGAAGGAATCTGTCTTGAGGAATCTTGGGGGGCGAATTTTACAGAGCAAATTTTGCCCCAGAAAGAAGTTTTAGAGCACGTGGCAGTTCTTTCCAGAGATCTTTAAGGAATGCTCCTTGAGAATAGTTCCAGATGGAAGGATGTACTGTGGAGGGGTCGCATCTTTCTGGAGAGAATACTGTGAGTGTGAACTTTTCGAGGGCGGTTTATTTCCCGAGGCAACTTTAACACACACGATTCAGATGATACTCGAAATTCAACTAATCCTGGCTAGGAATTTTGTTTCAACATTCTGTTACCAGAGTCATATCTGGGACTTCTGGGAGATCAAAAGTCAAACTGGTGATACAACTGATAATTGACTAATTTTTATTAGACGAAATCGATTTCTCATTATCACCAGGTCATTAAATACATTATTAATGATTAATCGATTAATTGTCCAATTTAGTAACCGAATAATCTATTAGTTGAGTTGAGTTATAGGGTACAACGACGAAGTGATTTTAAAAATCTTAACGCATTACAAATAATTAAATTCAGTAATAATCAACGGACCGGGGGTGTTAGATTGTGTTGCATCTCGACTTCCCCGAAGAAAGTTAAGGCCAAAGTTATCGGTAGTGCTACCAAAAGCTTTGGAAAAACCCTGGGAAAAACCGATCCATGGTGAATAATTCCCAAACCCTTCTTTTATCAAAGACATTCATTGTCCCAATTTTTAACTTTCCATAAAAATAAACAGTCACTATCTTATCGCTAATTGCGCAAATTAATTACTGTGAGAATACGTTCTAATCAGTCCTTCCTAAACGGTTTTTGTTTACTTTTTTATAACGAAGCCGTACATCTGTCTTTAATTATTATTCTTTTTAATTTACTGAGAAGGACCGCGCTCCATTAGTAATTGATGAAAAAATCATAAACAGCGTGACCTTTTTAACCCCACGATGATTATAATTTTTTCGTTGGGATCAGAGAGAATGTGATATAAGAGCAACATTAAGAGTATACAACTGAAGCGTGTCGAATTTCGAGTGTGGCAAATGAGGGTTGTTAGTGAAGAGTGTGGGTGAAATCAAGCAACGTGCACTAGCAGCATGCCACAATTTCTTGTGTGCAACTTACCGCAACATCAGGTTGCAATAAATTCATAAAATCGGCAGCAATCCTCCACTTGTGCACGCTAAACCAGGAGGTTCCCGTGTACGTGTCGCCGGCATTTAAAAAGAGCACAGGGGGTCCAGTCCCATCAGCCGCTGCCTTTCTTGCCTCTCGCACGACGTGCAGCACCCTTCCAAATCCTCCGTAGCAGTTCGACTTATCCTTACACGTTCCCGATGTTCTCGACGTCTCCTCGAAACGTGAATGCATGTCATTGTTATGCAAAATTAAAAGTTTCAAATTTTCACATTGAACGCTTCTCAAAAACAGATTTATTACTAACAAAATCCCAAAACTGATCACTTTCATTTTAACACGACGGGGCACTTTCACACAGCTAGCGGCCGAGAGGTGTAAACGGTGCCGCTTTCGAGCACGTTGTGGAGCTACTGCCGAGCCTCTTTGATAACTGTGTGCAAAATAATTATAGTAAAATATGCGGGAGCAACATTCCTAAATACCTTTAAGGTAGCCCATTCTTTCGTCACTAGGAACACAAGATCCTTGATCTTGCTCGGGGTTTTAGTTAATAAGGTTAATGGGAAACTGTGCCTTTAATTATTGCGGCCACGTCCTCGTCCTTCGGTCTCGTCAATGGAGGCGTACGTTAAACATAAATAGAGCGAAAATTTCTGATTTGCCACGTTATTGACACTCGTGCGATTAAAGGTTAACTGACCTCAAAGTTATCGCAGTGTTTTTTGTCATCTTGATAAATTTGCAAAATTTTGTGCTTTATTGGTATCTAAGTAGTGATATTGTGCCATTTTTTGGTTATCATGCAGATTTTGTACTGCATTGATTTGTTCATATAACCTGGCAGAACATGTCATAATTTAAAAAAAAGGAGCATTTAATTCGGAAACAGGGCACTTAATTAGCACCTAATTAGCACCTAATTATAGTTAGTTCACTTTTCATTTTCTTGGGTTTTTAAGGTAGTGCTCTGCTGAGTTCATATGAACCTGGCAGAATATGTAATAATTTAAAAAAAGGAGCATTTAATTCGGGAATAGGTTCACTTAATTAGCATCTAATTAGCATTTAATTATAGTTAGTTCATTTTTCATTTTCTTGGTTTTTTGAGGTAGTTTTCTGCTGAGTTCATATGAACCTGGCAAAATATGTAATAATTAAAAAAAAAGGAGCATTTAATTCGGGAATAGGGCAGGGCACTTAATTAGCACCTAATTAGCACCTAATTATAGTTAGTTCACTTTTCATTTTCTTGGGTTTTTAAGGTAGTGCTCTGCTGAGTTCATATGAACCTGGCAGAATATGTAATAATTTAAAAAAAGGAGCATTTAATTTGGGAATAGGGCACTTAATTAGCACCTAATTATAGTTAGTTCACTTCTTGAGTTTTTGAGGTAGTGTTCTGCTGAGTTCATATGAACCTGGTAGAACATATTGTAATCATTTTTTAAAAAAAGGAGCATTTAATTCGGGAATAGGGCACTTAATTAGCACATATTTAGCACCTAATTATGCAATATGTTTGATTGTTTTCTGCTGACCTTGCTCTGCTAGGTTAATGGACATATGATTTTGGACTTTATGATTTAGATGTTTAAAAAAAGTTCTACAATTTAGAGAAACTGGCGGTTTTCCACAGATTACGTATACTAATGTCAATAGTGCAAATTTTTATTATTTATTTATTAAATATTATCAATTTTCAGTTTCAGGACAGCAAATAACCTCACGACTATACCATAGTCGAAATAGTAGAAACTGAAAATACCATTTGTAACGGATTAGTTACATGTACAAGGCACGAAATAAATTTTACTAGTACGATTAATTTTTTCTAATAAAATAATTAAATCCACGGCTAGCTCAGTAATAAATACCCTTATTGACCCTTACCTTGCGGATAGTTGGTCCTTTATCGCTCCTTATAATCTGTAAATCAAAACTTGATTCTCTGGTTTGATCACTCTGCTGTGTAAGTTTGTTTAAATATATTGATGAAAATAATATCGATCATTCCAACTCCATTTCTCATTACATTTTTAAGATGGCGAAAAACTGTAATTGGGGTTCAAGGTTGGGTTGCTGCTGATGAGAATTGGTTAACGAGGCACCTGTTTGGGTTTGGCTTGCAGAAAGCAGATTGGGGAATATCTTGATGCCGCTTGCGGGATTGGATTAATTTTAATATGGATTGGGACCACGCGATACCTGAGGATAGCAGCAAAGTCGTGTTTAGCTTTTTTAATTTGAACCATCCGCTCCAATAGAAGGTAAGAAGAAGGTGTTTGTGTCGATGATTATATTTGGGGGTGTGTTTTAGTGGAAACCCGGTAGGAGCTAGTGAATCGCACGATATATTCGTCGCATGAACACTAATATTGGGTATTGTGTAGCTGCATTTGGGTAAAAAGCCGTATTACTCTGCTTTGGCTAAGATTCTGAGATTTGATCCAAAGTTGGTATTTTTAAATGCAACACCCTGTATATCTTAATGCCAATTTTTTTTTCAATTTTAGCTATGAATCAAAAATGAAACCCCTATTTTTTACGGTTTATAAATAGTAGGCCATGGATTCGTGGAGTTTTTGTTTTGTTTATGATACCCATGGTTAACTAAGATCAATCAGTAAAATCACTGACGGTAGAAGCATGTCATTTCCAAAGGATAGAGGAGCGAGAAATGTGGTTTTACCGAAGAATGCTAAAGATTCCTTGGGTGGGCAATGTGAGAAATTAAGAGGTGTTAACGAGGGTTGGAGAAGATGGGCTCTGTCTGTGGACTACTCTGGATTGCACACGAAGGCTTGCTAAAGACGGTACTGGAAGGTGCTGTGGCAGGTACAAACGCTAACGTCAGACCCACGTTAGAATGCATTGACCAAATGATGTTAGACCAGGGCTGTACCTTGGCACTGAAAAGGTTGACTGAAAATCGGGAAGGATTTAGCACTGCCACAGACCAATCCTAAGGATTGTTGACTTGAGAGAGATCACTTATGCTGGCTTATGGAGGTTCTTAGTGAATTTTCTCATATGCGGAAAGCTTTACCTTAGGAACAAATGAAAACTATTAAAGGCCCCTAAAGGCTTTTAAAATCTTTATCACTTTGAAGCCATTAAAGCTCATAAATTGTCTCAAAGATTTGGATATTAAATACAATTTAGAACTATTAAAACAACAGCTTTAGGGCTCTCTAAAGCATTTATAGGCCTGCTAAGGGTTGTAGAGGATTTTAAAATACAATGGACACCATCGGTAAACTCTTGGAGAGTTTTCATGATTGATAGAGGCTCTTAACGACCAATAAAATATCTTGAAAGTATTTTCCAAAGCTTATTGGTTTTTAAATTCCACGAAGCCACAAGAAGTCTCCAGAAAAACTCAAGCTTCGTTGAAAACTCTTCAAATCTCTTGGAGCCTTTAGAAAGCTCTTAGAAACAGACATGTTTTTTGAAAGCTCTATAGGTTCTTAAATTCTCTAGAAGGTTATGAAACAATCTTGTAGGAGGCTCTTGCCAAGTTTGAAGAATTCTTGAAGATCCCTCGTACCTACGAAATATGTTTAAAGGCACTTCTTTTCATGTCTTTCTAAAAATTCTTCTTCAAATTTTCGAAATTCTTTGGGTTTAGTTTATGACGAACGTTGTAAATTTCCTTTAACCCAGTTATTTCCATAAGAAAAGTCTTTTACAGCATCAAGGAGTTTTTAATAAACGATTTTTCTGACTTCGGTAACACTGTCCTATGTAATTAACTTTACTTTATTATTAATATAATCTAAAAAAATCGCCAAGATTAGATCAATAGAACAAGATAAAAGACAAACGGATCTTAAAGAAAGCAATTGGGTACTGCTTTGTGTTCAAAATCGAACGAAAAGCGGATTACCGGAGATTCTAGTAGATTTTTAACTATAAATCTAAAAAAATTGGAATACTCAAATTTAGACAGTTGCAAAAACAAATTATTAAAAAAAATTAAATCGAGCAAAGACACAACTTGCCTCAAATTGGGTGCGAAAAGACATTTTCTAACTAATTCAAACTTGTAAAATGTCAAAAAATAAAATCGCCATTACTATATTGGGTTATTGCAACAAAAGCAATAGTTAAACCAGCAAAGAAAATGCTCTCAGATCGACCATGAAACGAAATATAGAGATTAGAACGATCCGAGAATTGCCTCAGATCGATCGAGAAAAGACATTCGCCTCCAGAATCTAAAAAAATTACACAATAGCTATAAACGAAAAACTGATTTAAAAGACAGTCTTGTGTCTGTGTCCTTAATCAAGCAAAAATAAATATCTTATCTCAGATCGATCTTGAGCTGTAAAATCTTTAAAAATTAACATTGTTAAAATTTCATTGCTTGAGCTTCTTTGAAACCTCCGGATTTTTTAAAATTTTGTATTTGTTCGGTTTTGTTCCCATTTCTTAGATTCATAGGTCATCGATCGATCGAAAACCAGATTTTCCCGTTTACTCTTCGCTTCTTCGAATTCTACTGAGCTTTTAAGCTTCCTTCGATTCTTTCTAGGATTCTTTCAACGTTTTCAATAACTCACATTCTACAGATTGTTCCGATCCATGAAGCTCTTAAGATCCTTCTGCTTCTCTGAATACGTCTGATTCTTGAAAATCTTTGAACTCCTCTTCCATTCCTTCAGATTATTCGACTTATTCACATTTTTCGGACCCTCGTTTCTTTGTATCTTTAAAGGTTTCACAGACTTACATGTAGGAAACAATTCTACGCTACCGATGGAGACATTAAACATTCCACGCTGTCTGCACGAAAAGGTTATTAGAAAGAAGGCGAGCGTCCGGAATATTGATGTTTAGTAGGTTACGTGTTGATTTCTACGCTAAACTAATTCATTCGCCAACACGTTCCCAATTCAGATTCACTTCAAAGCGAAACTGAACGGTTGCGTCATAATGTAATTCTAAATTCTAAATACAGGTGCCAGAAGCGTATTTGGATTGTAGTAAATTACACAAAAATGTTACGAATCATCAGGTTTTTTTAGAGTGACAATGGAAACAAGGTTAATTAAATATACACTGTACGTAATTTATTGGATATAATTCATTTTTAAGCAAGCATTTTTTTATTCTAATTATTCTCTGATCCCACTCCTTATACTTATTTATTTGGAAATATGAAACCTATAATAAAATATATGTATACTGTGGAGTTTTTTTTCAGCTACAATATAAATCAGGACCGGGTTCTTCAGATTTGTGATGATGATTTGTATTAATTTCAACTTTTCAAAACCTTTCGATTCTTCGGATTAGTCCAATTCTTCATATCCATGAATACCGATGCGCGGCTGTTCCATCGAGATCTTGGCCCCTGGGTCACCTAAAGACTTTCGCTAATTGATCGCTGCTATGGCCCACATTTGCCGGTTTCTCCTCATTTACTATTGTTACGCGACAACACCCACGAGTGCGTTTTGAAAATTTTAATATTTACGTGTCTTTAAACTTTAAATTTTTGAATATGGAAACTGTATCATTTCATTGACCAGAAATTTTGAATGAAACATCAAAAATCATTCACAGCTTTATAGTCCAGTAAATATATACATCAGACCATGCGTCAAATCCGGTAGTTCTGATTTTTTGTGGGATTGCTTATGTTGTTAACCCAATGTATAATTCAAGTTTTCGACCTCGAGCGGCGAAAGCAACATAGTCAAATATACTAAAAACCAAGGAATTTTCGTTTTCTTTTCAGATTTTGACGATTTTAACCCTGAAGGACCAGTTTTTCGCCAATAACGGTTCAATAAGTTTTCAAAGCAGACCAAATTTGCTATAATTTAAGCCCACATCCGTTTGTATAGGTGTAAGGTGAGAAGCAGTCATAAGGGAATCAAGTACACTCTGTACTACCACGGGCATCGCACAAGGAAGTGTAATTGGACCACTGCTATTCATTCTTTTGGTGAACGACATTGATTTAGTCTTACTCCAGGGCGATAATTGTTTAATTACTAATTACGCAGACGATTCTAACATCCTCATAGAAGCAGAGAAATTTGATAACCTAATGTTAAGTAGCAACAAAGTGTTCGGTGACATGAGGGCCTATTTTAGTGCTAATCAACTCCTCCTCAACGAAAATAAAACACATTGTGTGCTCTTCAAATCTGTGCATTCAAATTTAAGTGTGCCTGACGTAATCAATATTTGTGGTGCTGAAAGGCGCTTGTGTGAGAACAAGTTACAGCCCTTTGAATTTTCTTTCGAAATTGGTTTCTAGTCCATAAATTTTGATTGAGAAGTCCGATCGAAAAAGTACGAATTGTTTTGGATTCTATGCACCAAAATTAATAAGAAAAAGTGTTTTCCCGAGAAATTTTGGTGCAGTCGATTTTTGGTAAAAAAGGAAGGTTATACACTGCCTTTTTTTGAGCCCCGACAAAAAAATTGTCTCAGATCGACCCGGAAAAAAAATTTTCTTATAGAATGTGGCCTGTAGAATCCATAATTTCAAACAGTTCCAAGATTGGGCTACTAGTTCAAAAGTTACAGCCCTTTGAATTTTCTTTCGAAATTGGTTTCTAGTCTATAACTTTTGATTGAGAAGTCTGATCGAAAAAGTACGAATTGTTTTGGATTCTACGCACCAAAATTAATAAGAAAAAGTGTTTTCCCGAGAAATTTTGGTGTAGTCGATTTTTGGTAAAAAAGGAAGGTTATACACTGCCTTTTTTTGAGCCCCGAAAAAAAAATTGTCTCAGATCGACCCGGAAAAAAAATTTTCTTATAGAATGTGGCCTGTAGAATCCATAATTTCAAACAGTTCCAAGATTGGGCTACTAGTTCAAAAGTTACAGCCCTTTGAATTTTCTTTCGAAATTGGTTTCTAGTCTATAACTTTTGATTGAGAAGTCTGATCGAAAAAGTACGAATTGTTTTGGATTCTACGCACCAAAATTAATAAGAAAAAGTGTTTTCCCGAGAAATTTTGGTGTAGTCGATTTTTGGTAAAAAAGGAAGGTTATACACTGCCTTTTTTTGAGCCCCGAAAAAAAAATTGTCTCAGATCGACCCGGAAAAAAAATTTTCTTATAGAATGTGGCCTGTAGAATCCATAATTTCAAACAGTTCCAAGATTGGGCTACTAGTTCAAAAGTTACAGCCCTTTGAATTTTCTTTCGAAATTGGTTTCTAGTCCATAACTTTTGATTGAGAAATCCGATCGAAAAAGGACGAATTGTTTTGGATTCTACGCACCAAAATTAATAAGAAAAAGTGTTTTCCCGAGAAATTTTGGTGCAGTCGATTTTTGGTAAAAAAGGAAGGTTATACACTGCCTTTTTTTTGAGCCCCGAAAAAAAAATTGTCTCAGATCGATCCGGAAAAAATTTTTCTTATAGAATGTGGCCCTTAGAATCCATAATTTCAAACAGTTCCAAGATTGGGCTACTAGTTCAAAAGTTACAGCCCTTTGAATTTTCTTTCGAAATTGGTCCCTAACTTTTGATTGAGAAGTCTAATAAAAAAAGTACGAATTGTTTTGGATTCTACGCACCAAAATTAATAAGAAAAAGTGTTTTCCCGAGAAATTTTGGTGTAGTCGATTTTTGGTAAAAAAGGAAGGTTATACACTGCCTTTTTTTGAGCCCCGAAAAAAAAATTGTCTCAGATCGACCCGGAAAAAAAATTTTCTTATAGAATGTGACCCGTAGAATCCATAATTTCAAACAGTTCCAAGATTGGGCTACTAGTTCAAAAGTTACAGCCCTTTGAATTTTCTTTCGAAATTGGTTTCTAGTCCATAACTTTTGATTGAGAAGTCCGATCCAAAAAGTACGAATTGTTTTGGATTCTACGCACCAAAATTAATAAGAAAAAGTGTTTTCCCGAGAAATTTTGGTGCAGTCGATTTTTGGTAAAAAAGGAAGGTTATACATTGCCTTTTTTTGAGCCCCGGAAAAAAAATGTCTCAAATCGACCCGGAAAAAAAATTTCCTTATAGAATGTAACCCGTAGAATACATAATTTCAAACAGTTCCAAGATTGGGCTACTAGTTCAAAAGTTACCGCCCTTTGAATTTTCTTTCGAAATTGGTTTCTAGTCCATAACTTTTGATTGAGATGTCCGATCGAAAAGGTACAAATTGTTTTGGATTCTACGCACCAAAATTAATAAGAAAAAGTGTTTTTCCGAAAAATTTTGATGCAGTCGATTTTTGGTAAAAAAGGAAGGTTATACATTACCTTTTTTTGAGCCCCGGAAAAAAAATTGTCTCAGATCGACCCGGAAAAAAATTTTCTTATAGAATGTGGCCTGTAGAATCCATAATTTCAAACAGTTCCAAGATTGGGCTACTAGTTCAAAAGTTACAGCCCTTTGAATTTTCTTTCGAAATTGGTTTTTAGTCCATAACTTTTGATTGAGAGGTCCGATCGGAAAAGTACAAATTGTTTTGGATTCTACGCACCAAATTTTTTTTTAATTTTATGTATTGTTTTTTAATTATTCGAACCTTTCTTAAACGATTTTGATTTTTGATCTTCTATCTTTTTAGATTCAAATATGTAGGGGGTTCTATTTAAAAAATAAGATTAAGTCAAGTAACTACTTTCGCTGGCATCGTATACCAACTTATTTTGAAAATGGCAGATTACTTAGCAAGTACTTTTGTAATAAACATTTTTTCGTGTCTAGAAAATATAGTCATTCTGAAATTGACAATTTTTCCTCGTATCTCTTAACGAGCGAATATTTTCAACTTTTAATAGTGTCATTTTTTAATTTTGACCTGAGGTTTGACCCAAAAAAAGCACATTACGTTTATATTAGAAAGTTTTTTTGATAGCACTAAAAATTCGATTTACGCAAGAATGTGGAATTCATGACACTGCGTTTACCGTTGGTTTCTTATTTGGATGTGTCTACTGAAACATTAGGTACATACGGCGAAACTAATCACAGTTTATATCACAATAAAGTTTTACATCTTTATTTACAAATTCTACGTTTTATAAATAATGTAAAAAGTTGAAAAAAAAGTCACAATAAAACAAAATGCCATCCAGAAAATCCGTCCATTGCGTAAAGAAAATGTTTGCCTGAACTTAAAAGGTTTGTCGTCTGTTTCCAAAAATAGCGTAGCACTGTTTCAATATTTCTTGCACGTCAGCGAGCTCCTTACACGGTCTCGTTCCCTCCAAAGTTTCGGCAGTTTTTTTTAAATAGTCCATTACAGAATTTGCCACTTCAATGGATCCGTCCGCAAGAGCTTTTATTTGTTCCACGGTTATCGAAATTTTAGTACCGCGGATTGGCAACTCCTGATACAAGGGCCAATTATTCTCGCAGGTCTCGCATTCGCAATGAAAGAAGTACTGGTTCGTTAAGCGCCTCCGGCGTTCTTCTCTCTGCATGACCGCATAATGATATCTGAAACAAGTAATTTGGATGAAACTAACCGAAATTACGAAGGCAATTACCCGTAGTTATCGAATAACTGCTCCCCTTTGGCGATCGGCCTCAAAGCTCTCAGAACAATCGAGCTTCCGTAGCAGTATCTTATAACATTAGGGTTGCAGGAGTGGTTCAGCAAGCTTAAAAATGCATACGCGCCAGCTCCTATTTCTTCCAATTCGGATACGCCATCCCTCTCATTATTTATTTGGGAAATTTCGTGAAAATTGGATGGTCCGGTTTGCAGGTGAAGTAGCAACAGGTCCTTGAAAATGTCTCGCCTCTCCGCGCTGCCATCGTTAAAAAACTGTGTATTCTTCTCGAACAGCTCGTAAATAACGGCGGCCATCGCCGCCTTATGAAACAAATCGGATAAGTCTCTCAAATGCGCGTTCGTGATTAAATTGTGAATCTCCCGATAATTTCCGGATTTATAACGGGTCGCCTCATCTCCGGACCCTTGTTTAAATTCCGCCAGAATGCAAATTTTCAATGCCAGAAGCCCAAACTTATTGACGTTCAAATCTAATAACGTCGCCAAAATTGGGCATTCATATTTATGAAAGGTATCCGACGCTAACCTCCTACAGCCTTCGTCACAATACAACGCTAATACGCAATTATCGCAGGGAATTAAATTCGGCGATGGCTTCAGGCAGTTATAACAATGGGTGAGGTAGTGATCCCTTAAGAGGATCTTCGTGAATGGCTCCTCGATCGCGACCACGTCACCGATCTCTATGTCATTTACGGCCACGACGTGCCTGCCCTGGTTTTCCTCGAAGGATATTCGAATGCAACTACTCGCGCACTCGATGTCCGGATTAGGGGTAGAAGACAGCGTCGGGACGCTTTCGTGGTAATTTACTTCGCATTGCGCGCTTTTAGCCGCTTCCGCGTTCTCTCTCCTTTTTAGTAACTTGTGGTGCAGATGTTGAGGATAATTACTCGAGAATGCTTGTGTTATATCCTGAAAAAAACAACTTACAGTAATGCATTTAAGGTTCCTCTGTAGTCAAATTGTATTTCAGTGTTATTGCAATAATTGTTTAGACCACCAACAATACACACTGCACTACATAATCTCCTTGAGTGAAACCAACGATGTCTCTATGCTTCACAGTTTTGCATATTCTCTTCATTTATTGTTAAACACAATAGACCATGTATAATGATCAAGGACTAATTATGTAAACAAGTTTATCGAAAAGCTGTACAATATTTGACTGGAGATGCACAAACTGTTACCGTTGAATAAGTTACTTATTTAATGCATTTACTGCATTTTTCTATAATGACCGTCTGTAAATTACCTGGTTTTCAGATAATTAGTGGACTAGATTAGCATTGTTTGTTATAACATTTTTTAATTACCCCTTTATTTCTTTTGATTTGTTCTAATCATTTTACTGATTTATAGATTTTTATAGTTATTAGATACATGTGCATGAATGAATTCACTTAGGTATGGTAGATCCTAAAAAAACCGGCACTTCGAACACCTAAAATAAATCTTTCTTTACTTATATACAAGGGTGAACAATAAAAAAATTGTATGTTTTTCATAAAAATGGCAGCTAACATTTAAAATTCTGTTACAATAATTAAAAGCATAACATTTATACTGATTCTAAATAAATCCTTATCTTTTCAAAAATTAATAACAATTGTACATTTCGCGTATTACTTATTTATATCTATGCACGACCCATGGAGAATTTTTCCGAACATCTTTTGTGCGGTAAGATGACTTCACTTTTTTGCTCTGAATTCAATGGTAAAAATAAAATTTACTTGATCCTCCTATTTTTTTAGGGACAAATATTCCTGTTGATAAAGTTGATATCAATCCATATTGAAAAAAGAAGTAGGTAGTAGTAAAAAATTTACCGGTTTCTGTCGCTACATAGTATTGGAAATTTGAAAAAAATTCGCCAAGTTGATGTGAAGTTTGTGGGACTCCATCAAAAGGTATTCTCAAACGGAAAGATAAATAGTCGAATTTTTTTAAAAGTGCAAGAATTTTTTTATATCCACCACTTTCACTAACTTGACTTTACATGAGCAAAACAGTGACACTTTGTTTTAAATAAAATTGTCAGTGTCGGCCATTAGTTGTCGTATCCCGCTTAGGAATTTAACTAAAAAGGGGAATTGTATTTATATCGGTAGCGTTTCTTTTATATAACATACCACGACGTTTCCTATGTTTATGTTCCGCTAATAAGTGAAAAAATGCCTATGGTCATTTGTAATCTATTGGGCGCAACTTTATGGAAAGCAAAGAGCATGTGCATCTTTTGCTTTTGGTCGCATTTCTCGAAATAGATAATTCTCACGAAGACTTACTCTTAGTCCAGTATGCAGATAATTTTGATCTGCAAAAGGTGGTGTAAAAGATTTTATTGTTTTAAGTGGTCCATTTGGGTCCAAATAACATGTATTTGAAGAGTACGCACAATTTTTTTCCCGGCACAACTTTTGGCAGGCAAAAAACCTGAAAATGTTTGGCATTTTTTTAGTTTTTCGCTTAAAACTCGAAAACGGTCCATATTTTATGAATAACACTTCTTTAGTAAAGTAAAGAAAACAAAATTATGCCTCGATAAAAAAAAAACAAAAACAAAATCGGTCCAATAGAAAAATTTTTACAAGCGATCAAAAAACGCCCATTTTTCCTACGAATTTCAAAAATTGGTCCAATTTTAAATTGTTGGTACTTTTTGAACTCTCTGATTGATGTTCTACAATCTTTTAGGAGCCACAACGCATTAAAAAAAGGTTAACTCAGTTCTTTACAAAAGTTGGAAAAAATGGGCGTTTTTTGATCGCTTGTAAACATTTTCCTATTGGACCGATTTTTTTTTTGATCGACGCATAATTTTGTTTTCTTTACTTTACTAAAGAAGGGTTATTCATAAAATATGGACCGTTTTCGAGTTTTAAGCGAAAAACTGAAAAAAGTCCGAACGTTTTGAGGTTTTTCGGCTGCCAAAAGTTGTGGCGGGAAAAAATTGGTGTGCACCCTTCAAATACATGTTATTTGGACCCAAATGGACCATTTAAAACGTTTACATCACATTTTGCTGGAATCGGCCCTTCTGACTGCTCCGCATACTGGAATATCTGAGGAATCTGATAATTTTAGATGGGAAATATACACAAATGTGTAATTTAGTCATATGTGATTTGATCTAACTAAACAAAGTGCTACGCTTCTGGTAGTTTGAAAGCATTATTATAAAACAGAGTTCTAATTCAGCACTACTTATGATATAATATGTGAAGTACCTAGTATTGTACGTACCCCGCGCCCCGTCCAAGGAAAATATTATTACAGCCTCATTATAGGTTTTTTTTTTATTTCTTGAAACATCCTGATGGGATGCAAAAGGTTTTAGAAATAAAAAGTTATTTCCAATGTACCTATAATAGGATATCCATTTTTCGTCTTGGGAATATGTGACATGATTTACCAATCAACAGCATTCAAATAAATAAATAGTAAATAGTAATTTATATAATCCATATCATTAGGAACGGCGTAACAATGTGTAGGGTAATGCCAGGTAGTTTCTTTTGTTTTCCCTTTCAAGTAATGAGTTGTCGCCTCAGGCGTTATAAGTGCAATTTGACAATATCCTTACGTTAGCGTTTTGATTTTTTTCTGAAGATCGCGAAACATATTTTTTAAAATATATGCCTTATAATATTTTAATTAGTTAATTAAATAGATGGAAATAATATCTTTAAGTACCGCCGGCGCCGTAAGAAATACTATCGGATTTCCAAATTGGTGCTGTACGTTTTTCTACTCTCATTACAACGGCTGTTATCTACAAAAAACGATTTTTCTATTCATCGATCTTCCTAAAAAACAAAGACCGATATTTCAATTTTTTAAGTACCGCCGTTCTTTTCATCATTGCAAAGAATATCCACTATCGAGAATTTGTTAGACTTCAACTACAAAAGCAGCATTTCATAAGAAAGTGTAGCTATTTTTCCAATATGGCGGATTGACTACAGAGGAGCCTTAAGTGGCGGAAAGCTTAAAGCTCTTAAAAGGGAGGGCTACTTTGCAAATGAAGTTTGCTAAATGGAGTAGTTAGATTGCACTCCGTTTCCTTCGCTAATTTAACATACAATGAATTGGGCCAGTAAAACCACAGTCAGTTAATTGTGGGCATTAGGGGAGGGGGAGATAATTGCAGTAACTTTTACGACATTCCTTCGTGCAACGACGGAAGAGCTCTTGCATTGTATGCTGAAGTGGCGGTTCTTTGTGAAGAGAGCATCAAAAATATTTTGGCTTCTTCTGATCAGTCTTGAAAGTCACTGATAAAGAAATATCTCCAGAGCCCATTTTTTTGATTTTTCGTTTATATATCGGAAAGTGTGCGTCCTAGTGACATGACCACTCTATACAAAACGAAAGCTGACAGTCAAATTTTCGTAATCAGCTCTTGAAGGTCTGAAATTTTTGAAAAAAAAAACATTTTTTCTTTCAAATTTGCATTTTAACATTGAAATTGCTGTAGCTAATTACCGGAGTACAACAAATAGCGTATACATCACAGGGCTAAAGTGCTTTGTTGCCCTCAACTACGTTTCGGGGAGCAATCTGCACCCTTGGGATTAAAACACACACTTTAGTTAGTCCCTTCCCGTTGGTATGTAATATACTATTTTGGCTCACATTTTCTGTCCTTTTTGACGGGATAACTCTTCAATGATACACCCAAAAAAGGAATACTGCGTGTTTTGTTTTGTTTATGTCAGTAGGATCTTTTGGTGTCACATTTAACGATGTAGCGAGTGTTGGAGAAGCAAGCCTTTTATTTGTCATGAGGAAGTGACTGCATCGAGTCAGGAATACCCCCAAACCTATGACTTCTTTAAAGGTACAGAAAATGTTCCAGAATCCCTACTCACTTTTCTCGAAAGCTTGATGATGAACAAAACGAAGAGAATTCAAGAAACCAAAACGATCGTCCATGCAATAACTTCAGTAATCAGACTCTGTACCTTTACTTCTTCAGTATTGAGTGACCTTTCCCTTTTCCTCCACAGGAAATACGTCTCTCGACTACTAATTGATCTTTTAGCAAACATGGGGTTTTGCGCATCATACCAAGAAGCACCAAGATTGGAAATGTTTGCTCTTCTAAATGCTCAACCAAGTGTCAAGCCGAATTCATTCAGTCAATTGACAAAGCCAACTTTACATGTGCCTTAGACGGAGTTAAGGCTTTCCATGCCATGGGTGGCATCAAAGGCATCACGCCTGCAACTTATGTGGAGCGCTCAGGTTCAGGATTCCCTACATTGACCAAAATGCCTCCGTCCTGCAGACTGGAAAATTTCGCTTGCAACATTACAGGTCGAGAAAGAGGAAGAATTAATGATCCCAGATGAACCTACTCATCCTGATCCTGTTTCACATTGCTAAACAGGTTTTCAACTGCCCGAGTGGAAAGTGTACCTGCAGTCCATAACCACAGGATAATTCAGCGAAAAGACGAGAGTCTTCCCACAAAAGTCGTTGATAGTAATGTCCGGCGGTGTTTTAAAATTTATGGAGAGATCCGAGAGAAACGCGTCTTCGGGAAAAAAAGGTTGTGGTTGGATGTTTACTAGGACGAAAGCAGGCCAACAAGTTAAGCGAAAATTTATCGCCCTTGCGATGTTCAACAACCAGCTGGAACGAGGCACGTTGATGTTTTCGGGAAAAAAACATGACATTCCTAGAGCCTTAAAATTCGTGACCCAATTTTTATTGTTACATGTTTGGGGATTTTCTTTTGCTTTTGTTGTCTTTGTTAATTTAGTTCGTGTATTTGTGTAGGCTATGACAGGGTTTTTGTCCTGCAGAAGGTTTCCCTAGTTGTGTGCGTAATACAAGGGCGTATTGAAAAGTCTCCAACGATGCCATTTCCGAGCACGAGTTGTTAGGCGAAATTTAACCACAGCGCTGAATTCTTTGGTTCTCCACGACGGTGTAGAACTATCCGTGAGATTATGGGACGATCAGTCGCTGCGTAGCAGTCTTGGTGCACAATAATCGGAGAGATGAGAGAAGGGATAGTCTTGATGGAGAGTGTGGCTACTTCCCCGTGCAGAATATTGTGTGGGAGGGACTAACACCAATATTTTTGTAGAATCAATCACGATCGCAAATATTTCGTTTAGAGGCTACCCAAAATTGCATTTTGTCTTAATTCCTTTCAGGAGAACCATAAGACGTACCAAGAAAATTGCTACTTCTTTGGATAGATTAATGGGTATACTATATGCAATTATTGTAGTACACATTTTTCCAAAAGTTCCTATCCCAAGATGACGGTAACCCTAACCGAAGCGAGGGTGGGGAAAAAATTCTGATTTCAACCATATTTGGTCTTTGGTCTTTGACCTTTGAAACGAGAATTATAAGATTAAGGCAGGAAAAAAATGCGTAAGTCCAAACTCGTTGGAATCACAATTAATTATTTCTAACTTATGATTGGAAAAGGTGTAAATTCACTTTTATACAGTCCTATAATATATTTAGCGCATTTTTGAAAAAAACGATATTATATTCGTTATGGCTGACTGGCTGGCTGTGCGGCTCTCAGCTAGAGACTTCAAATTTTCACTGAGAGCTTTCTGATATAGTGTGGATGTGCAGGCTCTAGTCTATTTTGAGATAGATTACTCATTTTAAACTTGGCTAATAAAATACTGGATCTGTATTACCAAAAATGCGCTTTCATCATGCACATGCTGATTTACAACTTGTTTAGAATCATCTTGTTATGTATGCTACATTTTTGTACCATCCCCAGTGATTGATGAAACTAATTTGAATGAATTACCAGTACTCTAAACTCAACAGTGATTGACGCACAGCGGCGGCTGTTACGTCAGTTGCGTGATTAATTACCGAGAAATTAATTACTTACCCTCAGGCATTCTTGATAGAGTTTTAATTCGTATAAAACTGCCGATCGATTAGCAAAAGCTAACGCGAGCTGCTCGCTGTCCTTTGGAGCGTACGCGACACTTTGCGTGTACTTTTCTAGGGCGAGTGCGTTGCTTTTAAATTTGAAAAGTCGATTTCCCGCCTCGCGCAGTTCGTCCGCCATCTTGCGACTTTTCGCGCCAACTTCGCAACGCGGCATCAGATCGAAGCGCTCGAGCAGCGCGCGGGCGAACTGGACGCGTTCAGAGTTTCTGTTTAGCTCGGCAAATTCGCGCGAGTTCCGCACGCCGCCGTCGAGCGCAAGATGGCGCGATAGGCGCTCGAAGATGTCACTAACTGTTTTCGGCCTCGCCTCCGCCGTGCACATTTTCTCGTTTATTTGTAATGTTAAGCGGTGCCCGAAATGTCGGATTACGTTTCGCCGTTTCTCGTTTTAAATTTAGGCTCCGAAATGGTTTTTGTTATAGCGCAACGTTTACAAGCTCACGACGTAACGCGCGATAGGGCATCACTCGGTATGATATTTTTAGCATTCATACACCACAATCCACAAACGAATGGCTTTCACTCTTATGTTGATGCTTTTGTAGACACGGCGCCAAAATTAAACGAGATGGAGTTGCACTCGCTTTGCACTGAATCACAGGTACTTAATTATTGCATTTTATTTATTGTTTAGTTGTAAGTTATTAGAATCGACCAGACGCCATCTTAGGTCAAGGTTTTCCCAATGCGTAAGTAGTACAAGTTAAACACCTCCCAATGCGGCACTTGAACCAATTTACATAAAAGCGATAACGAACCACTTCCTGGTAAACAAAAATAGATTCTGAAAGTATGTTATCAGCGATAATTAGTAATTCTGTCAAACGAAACCAGTAATAATAAATAAAAGAGCTGTCTGGTAGTCGAGATATTCAATGAAATAGCACTTTCTAAGTTGAACACTCTGTACATTTTTAATTTTTTTTTTTAAATAAAACTGAGAGTTACCAAGCTTTAAACATTATATTTAACTTAGCGAATCCATAAAAAAAGAAAAGAAAAAGGATTACAATTAACATATTGCCCAGAATTCCTGAAGAAACTGCATTAGGCTGAGAACTTAAATACTCTTTTTTAATATTAGGTTTTACGAGGCAATAAACGAATGAATATGGGTTAATCAAAATCAACCACTAAAGGTTTGTTAAAACTATTTTTTGGTATCTTTGAAAATAAATTAATTCCAGCTCATTTTTGAAAATGACATTTTTCGTTTTTTGACGACGTTGTTTGTAGAGCTACAAGAAGCTCAGAAAGGGAAAATTAATCTACATAAAATTCTTTGCTCATTTAAGCGACCTTATATCCCCATACTATACATCGGAAAAAACTCACCCTGTATATCACTCCAACTTTCGTAATAAAGACGATTTCGACCAAACTTTAATGGTTGGTCATAATTTTAGTTATTAGCTACATGTCTTGCTTTTTTTCTATATTCTTTATCGAGAGTCCATTAATTAACATTTAATATTAAATGATACGTAGCTCTGTCACTAATTAACTGATGGAAGCTATTTATTTAAAACTTGAGAATATTAGAATCAACAGAAAGAAACATATGGAGATCAGGACATGAGCATCCCTGGAGATCTGTCCGCTATAGAAACCCGATTTGAATCTTTTCCAAAATCTGGCTATAATGTTTTAAAAAAGAGGTTCAGGGGAATTATTTGAAATATTAGAAATGTTCATAGAAAACCTTCTTTATTCTATTACACCTTAAAATCCTAAGTATAGAAATTGCAAGGTCTTGCTAGGCAAACCTTGAAAAATGTTTTCGGAATTTTAAGAAAACGCTTTAGAGATCTTCCTAGAAATCTGAAAAATTCTTAGAGCAATTTTCCAGGAACATTCTTTCGGTATAACTTAAAATTTCATTAGAAATATTTTTTTAAGAAATGCCCTTAAAAAATATTCTAAAAATTGTCCTCTATAAAATTCTTATACAATAATTTTCTGAACGGACTTGACTTGGAATCTTTCTCTTTTTTAGAAAGGATTTTCGAAATCTTCAAGTCTCTTAGATCTCTTATTGAAAAACCTCTTAACAATTTTTTAGGAATCATTCTGCTCGTTATAGTGCAGGCGCTGGATGGATTTGAGTGTGCAAAAACCGAGGACCGCATTCTGCCAATTGATCCCAGTTCAGAAAAGCTTGTAGATTAATAATTCGGATGTTGCCGAAACACCTCTTGGTCCAATTTGGTATTATACCCCCTCCTCTTGCGCCGAGAAAAAGTTGCCTGAGTGCATGTTATATTTCTTTCCTGATGATAATTTTGTGACAATTATTGATTTTTTTTTTTTATGATTAACCATAATTAAAGGTTGGCAAATGAAATTAAAACAGAAATGATGAATAATGAATTCATAAATTAAAAAGTGCAAATATATCGATATGAGAAAATGTGAAAAGAGGGTCGACATTGTCCTTGTTAGATATCATATCAAGCACATCATATATTTGCAAAAGAAATTGCAATAACAAATATTTATACGTCAATAAAAATAATATATAAATATAACACATAAATATAACGCAAACTCACAAATAATTACAAGGAAGACGAATATATGTATAGCAGCAACAAATATGATAATATAACTTTAAAATATAACATTTGGACGAGGAAGGATGTTACAGGAAATTTTCAAAATGGAAACTCGCTCTCGAAATTGAAAATAACCACAAACACGCGACAGAGGACGTCTTAAATTTGAATACTACAAAAATTAATATTGTTAATAGAATGGCACTTGTTCAATGAATTCAATTAAAAGAAGTTCAACACCTTTGACGATTTTCTGAGGCACTCTTCAAAAAAATCTGTAACCTTTTCTTGCAGCTAAATATAATAAGGCAAATTGATGATATTTCGATAAAAACTTTAGTCAACTTTACGTAGTAAAGGTCAAAAGATTAAAAATTTTGTGATTTCAAATGATCGCACAAAAATGCCAAAAATTGTAATAATTTCTTTTCAAACCCTGAAAATAAATTAGATACAGCTCGTTCGAATGCTCTGTACTGCCACTCGCTAGACATACACAAGTACAAGAAGATCGCGATCTATATATCTGTGGAGGATTTGATGATCCAACGAAATGTTGCAAGGCTCTTCATAATTTGAAACACCTGATTTGAATTCGAAGCCGATTCAGGGATGTTTTAATAACATATTTCACGCAGTAAAAACCCAGTCTGCTCACATCATAATCCTTAGCCTGATACAGATGGTTTCATCCTAGGAATCTATTTCTAACTCGTCTAGGTTGTTTAGGTGTATGGTTTGAATGATCTTATGACTTATATAAGGGGAAATACATTTCAGGAGGTCATTTGGCTGCTCAATCCCTTGCCGAAAACAATTGTCGTATTTTGCCATCATTACACTCTGTGATTCAACTAGCAGATTGGGTTCAAAATAGTTTACAAGCTACATCGTTGAATTTTGTACAGAAAGCTCTTTTGCTTTTTTGATAACTTATGTTAACATTTGCTTTTTCGTATTAAATAATTTTTTTGGTCAACAGTTCTTGTTTTTATTTCAATTATTTTATATTGTTGTAACAATTGACTAGCTATGTTAATCTTTAAACATAAGAAGCAATGGATATTGTCATTAAAATAGTTCCAAAGCATAATTTGTTCAGTCTATTTACTAAAGAGGTGGGGTATAAAAAATAATTGGACCAACAAAGCTGCTGGCAACATCCAGAATTATATTCTGCAAGCTTTTCAGAGTTCAAAACTATTTACAGAATGCGGTCCTCATATTTTGCACACTCAAGTCTATCTAGCACCCGGTCTATTATTAAATATTTCGATTTTCCTCAAAATATTCTGAAACACTTTTTTTTAAATCACTTTTGATATTCTTGAAATTTCCATTGAAACCTTTTTAAAACTCTTCCTCAAACTTTAACTTGAAACCTTGCAGTAAATTTTCGATGAATTTTTTTTATTTTTTAAATAGGTAGTTAAAATTTTTAAAAACGGTAGCCCTCCCGGTAGCCGTAGAAGTCTTAAAAGGACATCTTAAAACAACTAGGCTCTTTTTTCTTTAGAAATCTTTTTGAAAATATTTCTCGTTAACATTTTTTTAATTTTTTGTATTTACTTTTACGAACCCGGATTCGAACCAGGGATCCGTTGTTCCGCAGTTGCGGTTCTACACCACTGCGCCACACAGGCCGGCAATTTTAGCAAACCCTTTCGGAAAACCAGTTAAGAGCTTGTAATCCATTTAACATTGGGGTGGTTTGTCACCATACGAATACATCATAATTTATACAAGGTGGGTTTGCCAAAAAAACGAAAAATGTAATTTTCGAGAATGCGCTGGCTATCAAAAAATAATTTTAACAAACCATCAGTGATTTTTTTCTCAATTTTCTTGTGGTGCTAAAATAAAATTTTTATTGTGGGTTTCGAGTAAATCACATCCACATTCTTATTCCTACGGACGACATATTGGATATTGGACTTTCATAACACTCGACAGAGAAAAAAATTACAAAACCAGTGATAGAAAACACTTACATTTTGGAATTAATCTTGAATTTTTGCCTTGAAGTGTACAATCTATTTTTTATGGCAATAATTCTACTTATAGCCCTGTTGATTATTATATTACTATATGCGAGACAATAAACGAATGAATTTAATTTCAATCACCATCGGCCTTACCATAAGAAATACACATCAACAATACCCAAGTGCCCTTGGTAACTTCGAAATTGCGTCTTGTAACTTTGGCTCAGAAAAACCTTGCGAAAACTATGAAACGTGTTTATAGATTTCCACCAAAAACAACCGGGTTACAGAGATGACCAATAGGCGATTACTCTGCGCTCGATAACTTCAAAATTGCCCCATACAATGAGGTGTCAACGTTTGCTCGGAAAAATCGCAAAAACGGGGACACGTCTGTCCCAAACGTAATGAGCCTTTTTTTTTAAAAAAAATAGATTTCGTGGTTTTTTTGTTACGCCAATGTCTTCAGATGCTTTGAGAACAGGATGGAGTCTGCCGGTGCTACAAAGGGCGTTTAGGGGGCCGTGGCACCGTTGAAATACCCATCCGGGTCAGATAGCAGTTAACAACGAAGGCGGTGTGACTCGGTGCGTTGTCATGATCGAGTCTCCATGACGACCGAATCTCTGGTCAGACGCGGGTGACTCATTTGAGAACTTCTTTGTAGTCCTTGTTGTCGATTTGTCCAGGTGGTACAAACTCGTGGTGCACGATCCTCTTAGCTTCGAAGAACACGATGACCATGGACTTGACGTGGGACTTGCTCAGTCTTGCCTTCTTCTGCATTTTCGTCTCCCGATCGCATGACTAATTTCCTGTGATGACGTTATCAAGGACATTTGGGTTCTCCTCACAGAGTTCCAGCCATTCGTTGCACACTTCCACGGGCTGCTGTTTTTTTACGTCAGACAACAGTTCCGAGCAAATCTTACACATGGCTCCAAAGTTATCCTCCAGTGCGAAAAAATGAGGTATATGTTTATATGAACTTTAAGTCATTAAATAAACGTAAGAATTAGCCCCTTGCGTATGTACATTATATTTCGGCACACCCTGTATGGGACAAACTAAACGAGACCCGAGATACTAGAAAGATAATCTCATCATAGCGATATCAGAAATAATAAACTGCACCAAAATAGACAACGAGCGACAAGGTCACTTCCAGTTGACGAATATTGACCAAAATTTGATCAATTAGTCCCTTGATCATTGTCTACCTATTGCTAAAAACAGAATTGGAAAATTCGTAATCGTGAGTTATCGTGTACACAGACGGACGGACGGAATTTATTAAAACCAAAATTTTAACTACGGAATTACTTTTAAAAAAAATTTTTAGAAAATGGAATATACAGTGCGTTTGAGATTTATTTGGCGAGATACGAAAATTGGGTACATCTAATTTTACCTATATGGAACATTACGATCTATCTGATCGCCTATTCAAACTTCTGGTATCACTTCCGGTTCAAACGGAAATCGATGCAACTTTTGTTTTTCAAATAATAATAATAATAATAACGTCTTTTATTAAATCATGCCACACACAATTTAACAGGGCGAAGTTCAGAAGTTGGGCTATTATAATGACAAGAACTCAAAATCTAATTGGGAAATGTACAGAAAATAAAGAATTACTTTGTAATGGGAAAAAATGCATAAATAAATTTATGAATAAATACAAAATGTATGAAAAAAAATATATTGGGTTATAAAATTTAAAATTTAACTCAACTCAAACGTTTGCCTAACAAAAACAATGTTATGGAGTGCCTTCTTCTTCGACATTGATGTTTTTTAAAATATTGCTTTATATATTATATAAGCGTTATATTTTTTAGAAATATTGTATGAAAATGATCTTTCATTTAATGTCGTTTTATGAATTGGGGATATAATAAATTAACCAATCTAGGATTATTACTAAATTGAATTTTGTTATATAAATAAACAGGCTCATTTATTGTTACCAATTTATAGTATAAGACCGTCTCATTGAATTGCGATATTTGAAAAGAGTAATGTACGAACTTCAACAAAGAACGGAGAAGTGCCTGACGGATCCTGATGGAATGAGGAACACTGTGAAGTACCTGAAAGTCTCTGCGTATTTTAGTAAAATATAGATAAGATATAGAAGGTGGTACTTACCCGCTTACATCTTACATGGAAAAACGATTCTAGTCTGAAAACGTTTAAGTAGAACAAGAACCAGTAAAAAGGGCTAATGACCTGAGAAGTTGATGCCCTCTAAAAAAAAAAAAGAGTAATCAATTTTCTATACGACAACATAAAATATGCATATGATTAATATACAAAAAAATAGAGAAATTCGTATATTTAGAAAATTTATGAAATTTAGCATGCCTTGCCCAGTAAGCTACCCGAAAATCCTTACATATCCAAAAAATATGTCTTCAATGTATAAGTGTATCGATTTCGTGTGTTACAATTTTTTATTGTAGTCTTTGCTCTATTTTTTGGAAGTTGGTCTACTATACCCCTATAACGTAAATTTAATTACGCGTTTCATTTATTTAGAATTAATTTATACTGAATGTACGAAACTACTTAAATAGAATGGCGTCGACTTCCATTAAACACAATTTCTAGAAAAATCACGGAACATTTTCGAAGTCAGTATATCCTCGCATTTGCTTTCGTTCCTTATCACCGGTGAGTATTCTTTTATCGACTTGATGGCGACTGGTGGCGCCCCGATGTCTTTGTTGATTCACAGAAACTACAGGTATCCTGATTTTACAACAATTTCCTGCATTCTGTCCAGGTGTAAGTTTTTGAGAATACATGCAACACGACAGTTTCGTATACAACCAGAAGTGCTTGTTAATTACCTTCGTCCAAACGCTTGCCTTTAGTATATGATAGTGTCGAACTCCTGAAGATTTATCTTAGCGCTTCTCCCTATTATAGTTACAAAGTTGCGAGGGCGAAAAAATGGCCAATTCTGGTGAACAAAATTCCAACGCCTTTTTGATCTGCAAATTTCGATGTCACTTCGTAGGTATACAAGGTGTTCCAACGAAAATATGTGGAGCAGAAGAACTCCTGAGGTCTAGAGAAAATATAATGTTTAATAAACTACGGTGTAGGCACTTTCTGTCATTGTAAATTTTTTATTAAAGCGCCGCTTAGTTGGAAATTGATCGCATTCATAATTAATAATTACCTGGCCGCTAACATGCCACATCTCAGGCATTCAGCCCCAAATAGAATCCACCTACAATTTACTGCGTATCAACACGCGTAGGTAGCGAACATCTTATATTAACGAGAAAATGAAACGTTTTTCATATACCGCATTAGGTCATTGTCGAAAGGAAGGGGGCGACAAACTAGAGCTTCTTTATTTATTTTGATCAATCATAGAAATTTTGCACCGACACACTTCGTCTTCAAGTACGTAGAATAGTTGAAACTGATTATTTCTATTGTTGCAGTACTAAACAATATCATATCGGTACTGATTTCACCGCAGCTCATTGCCGAGTTAACAAAACCGCAACCTCCACTAAGTCCAGAGGCCGTTAAAAGTATAATCGAAGATGTAACGCAATCCTCAATCATGCGTTTGGACACCAACAGCATGGCGAAACTGTGGGATTTAATCACAATGGTTTTCAAATGGCAAGTCACAATGACCACGGATATCATGGCGTTGACACTCCGGCACCTCTATGAAATCGAGACCTACCTCATAAATCCCGACACCCACCTTCAGCTCCACAGAGTACAAAACGTAGTGGAAAACTTCAACAAGATTTTCAACAAAAACGAAAAGGAGAAGCTGCACGCCGGCATCGTGGAGTGGCTGCAGAGCTTCAACGTCCGAGTCTCGCTCCTGCTGCGAATGGGGTTGCAAAACGAAGACGCGAGTTTCACCTCCAACAACAACAACGCCGTAGCGGAAGACATGCTGAAGAATTTGGGCGAGAACATCTACGAGGTGACGCAAAACGGCAAAATCCTGGAGCCGGACCCGCACGAAGAGGAAGAGGAGCGACTCGACAACAAAGAGCTGGAGGTGTTCGCGAACGAAATGCTAGGCGCTCGAAAGCTGAGCGCTGCGGAGAACGGCCCCAACATGAATTTGCACATTAACGAGTTCCAGCGCAAGGAGAAGGACGACATTCAGCTCAAAATTTTCGATAACATTAAAGTTTCGACGCCCGATGACGCTTTGAAGAAAATCTTCAGCGATTTAAACCTGGACGATTTTGAGGAGGATTCTTCTATGAAGGATGATTTGTTGGATATCATCGGATCTGAAACTGTCTAGTCACATTTTCAGCTTTGTTTATTGTGTTTTTGTTAAATTATTTATAATGCTAAGAATCTGTGTACTTATATTTGTTTATAAAAGTATTTTATAATGCCAACCAAGGGATTTTTCTCACAGCGCTAGAGAACTTTGTATCTGTTGAAAAATTGCATGAACGGATGATGGGGAGCATAAAAAAGCTACACGTACTGTTCGGTTATTGACCAACTTGCATCAAGAAAATGGAACAATGCAAAGGACTTATTTAAATTCGAAATCACTCCGTTGACTATAAGTACTTGCGTCTACAGAGTAAGTCGTAATTATTATTTTAGGTAAGGGGAGACATTCCGTTTACTAGCTGGAATTCTGGATGCAGGAGACTCAATCCATAATTTCAAGTGTCTATAAAAAAACACACATGGCTTGGTTCTTACAAAAATTAATCACCCGCTCAGCAGACAGCTTCGGCAAATTTTTTAAAAACGAAAACCTAGGAAAATCATGGCCCATTGGAAAGGGAGTAGAGCGTTTGCCGTTTTAAAGGTGAATTTGACTTTTTATGCAACCACATTTTTGGCTAATAATAAAATAATATTTTTGCAGTGAAATGGCACAGATACCACCCTCGCACTTGCGCATGCGTGATTCTGCCCAAGAGCTCCTTTTATATCTAAGAAAATGTGTACAAATTTGATTCCAATCGATACAGCCGTTAACTTGAAAATGAGAGTACAGCTAGGAAGACCGACAGAGCAAAACGTGTATTTCACTAAAAAAAACCTATTATAAAATTTTAAATTATTTTCCTTAGCACTAGAAGAGGATGGTGAATTGATGAGAGATCGTGAAAGATATCCTTGAACCAAATACTGGCTCCCAGACTTATGTTATCAAGTGTGTTCCTCTCGATCTAAGGGTTGGTTTACTGGTTGGCTACGTCTGGGATTTGTGAATTCACCATTCCAAATTCAACAGGAAATGCACTTTCTTTTGGAACTGCATGGCTAACTTGTAAATTTCCCACATATTTTGTTCAAATTTCTTTTAAAAACCTCAAATTTTCTGATTCCTCAGGATACTCTTTCTTTCCTGCTAAACTCTCTTGAAGCTCTCATACAATCCTCATCAAATTCCCCTAGTTTCTCTCTCATTTTTGTCTGAAACTAAAATTAAGCAACGATTTATACTGCACACTGCGTGAGATATGCTAAAAGACGCACAATTTTTAAAACATTCATACATGTATTCAATTTTTTAAAATATGCATTTATATGCAACTTTAAAATTGCATATTGGGCTCAAAAGCTCAATGTGCATTTGTATCAATTTTTAAAATTACATACTGGGCTCAAAAGACCAAAAAAAAATTAGTCATGCGTAAGTATCGTGCACACTACAATATTTATAAAAATGTGATTTAATTACAATTGAAATCCTTTGTGATCGTTCCAAAGCTTTTCATAAATAGATCAGATCCGAATAGATTTAAAGGCATCAAAAACTCTTAAAGATCCTTTAAGAAAAGACTATTACAGTTTGTGAATGACATGAAATTTGGAAAAAGATATGCAAGAAATTCACCAAATAGATTTCTAAGCATTCAAGAAGAGTGTTATATTCTCTGTTTCTATAAATAATGTTCGTAGGGTTTTTCAAAGAAAACGCCTAAGCAGTTTTCCAAAAATATTTTCGATTTCGAAAAAAGTCGTTTCCTTTGAGGATTACTAGTAAATGTCCAAAAAACATTTTTGTTTCGAAATGGAATTCTAAAAATCTTCAACAATTTTCTTTTCTAGTAATATTTTAGGGCAATTTCTAAGGGAGAGGATTACGAGTCAAATTACTAGGAAATTAAGCAAGTTTCTGAAAGAATTCTCTAGGATAAGTTCGAGACTATGTTAAAAAATGGTTGCTGAAGGTTTCAAGAGGATTTTTGGAATACTTTTAAAAGGAGTTTTCTAATAGGATCATGTGGACATAATAAGTAAAACTCATTCTAAAATTCCTATTAAAGTGTACCCGAGATTTATAGAAAAAATTTGAATTCAGAATTTGACGGATAAGCAACCCTATAGATCGCAAGGCAAAATTCAGACATCCCATCTCCTTCCCAATCAGCACATCACATTTTTTATCAAAGGTATGGGCGTATCTTAATTCTGACTTGAGGTTGCATATAACTTTTTGTGTTACCATTTCATCAACGTCCTAGCTGTTTTTGTTTGGTATGTTCACACGGCCTATTTTTGCAGGTGAAGTCAGAAGAATTCAAAGAGACAGAAAAATCCGAAGAATCTCAATCAATAAAAAAAAAACCTGCAGAAACCGAGAGCTGGAAGTATCCGAATTCACAAAATCTGAAGACCTTATAAATCTGAACTAGGCAAAATTGCAACATTGCATTTTATTGTGAAAGATATCAATTTTAACATATTCAAAATTCCCATTAATTCCGGCCCAGGAAATCAGTCAAAATCCTAGATGGCCGTTAAAATTTGTATTGTTCATTTAAACATTATTTATACTTTTATTTTCATATACAGGGCGGGCCAGTAGTGTGTGGACGGATCCTTGTAAAAGTGAAGTTCATGCTTTGGCATGGGGAGGAACCCTTAAGGCTACAAACCTAAAATATTTTTACTTCGTTCGAAACCCATTTACAGGGTGATTCTGTTTTTTTATGGTTTGAAAAAAATTGAATATCACAGTAATTGTCAATCTTAGTAAGCTGTGACTTTGTGGAATTACCTACCATTTAAATATTTCAAAACTAAATACCTAAATATTGAAATAACCGCCATTAAAAAAAAAAGAGTCAGTGTTTATATTTTTACTTTAATATTTGAATTTCAAACAATGTTTGGCAACGAGTAAATCCAAAGATCACAAATGGACGCCAAATTACAAATTGTTTGGCAAATTTAATTGAAATAACCAGAGCTGGGCAGTATTCGATTTTGTAAATACTTTTTTTAGTATTCAAATCAGTAGCAGTATTTGTATTTGTAACTTGGGGAGCAAGTACACATACTCGCAGAGTATTTATATTACAAAAACGTATAATACGCTTGATGTACAATCTTAATTACGCTCAAACATGTCGGGACACTTTCAAAAATCATAAAATAATGCCACTGCCTTGTATATATATCCTTAAATTACTTATTTATCTTCATAAAAACCGACACAAATTTAACAAAATAAGTCAAATTCACAATCACAACACCAGAGGTAAAAATAAAATCTTGATTCCAAAACACCAACATTCATTTTATTAAAAATCGCCGTTTTACACCGGTTCAGTATTATTCAATAATCTGCCTGAAACTCTAAAAAAAATGAACCACTCCCTTTTCAAAAATAGAACGAAACAGATATTACAAAATAATTCTTTCTATTCAGTAAATGAATTTGATGATTATATTATATCTCTAATAAAAACCTAATGACTGGATACACCTGAATTGTTAGTCCACAAATTTACTGTTGTCCATTCATGTTTTGTTTGTGATTTGACCTCTCAATCAAAATTTATAAACTAGAAACCAATTTCGAAAAAAAATTCAAAGGGCTGTAACTTTTGAACTAGTAGCCCAATCTTGGAACTGTTTGAAATTATGGATTCCACAGGCCACATTCTATAAGAAAATTTTTTTCCAGGTCGATCTGAGACAATTTTTTTTTCGGGCCTCAAAAAAAAGCAGTGTATAACCTTCCTTTTTTACCAAAAATCGACTACACCAAAATTTCTCGGGAAAACACTTTTTCTTATTAACTTTGGTGCGTAGAATCCAAAACAATTCGTACTTTTTCGATCAGACTTCTCAATCAAAAGTTATAGACTAGAAACCAATTTCGAAAGAAAATTCAAAGTGCTGTAACTTTTGAACTAGTAGCCCAATCTTGGAACTGTTTGAAATTATGGATTCTACAGGCCACATTCTATAAGAAAATTTTTTTTTCGGGTCGATCTGAGACAATTTTTTTGCGGGCCTCAAAAAAAGGCAGTGTATAACCTTCCTTTTTTACCAAAAATCGACTACACCAAAATTTCTCGGGAAAACACTTTTCTTATTAATTTTGGTGCGTAGAATCCAAAACAATTCGTACTTTTTCGATCAGACTTCTCAATCAAAAGTTATAGACTAGAAACCAATTTCGAAAGAAAATTCAAAAGGCTGTAACTTTTGAAATAGTAGCCCAATCTAGGAACTGTTTGAAATTATGGATTCTACAGGCCACATTATATAAGAAAATTTTTTTTCCGGGTCGATCTGACACAATTTTTTTTGCGGGGTTCAAAAAAAGGCAGTGTATAACCTTCCCTTTTTACCAAAAATCGACTGTACCAAAATTTCTCGGGAAAACACTTTTTCTTATTAATTTTGGTGCGTAGAATCCAAAACAATTCGTACTTTTTTGATTAGACTTCTCAATCAAAAGTTATAGACTAGAAACCAATTTCGAAAGAAAATTCAAAGGGCTGTAACTTTTGAACTAGTAGCCCAATCTTGGAATTGTTTGAAATTATGGATTCTACAGGCCACATTCTATAAGAAAATTTTTTTTCCGGGTCGATCTGAGACAATTTTTTTTGCGGGCCTCAAAAAAGGCAGTGTATAACCTTCCTTTTTTACCAAAAATCGACTACACCAAAATTTCTCGGGAAAACACTTTTTTTTATTAATTTTGGTGCGTAGAATCCAAAACAATTCGTACTTTTTCGATCAGACTTCTCAATCAAAAGTTATAGACTAGAAACCAATTTCGAAAGAAAATTCAAAGGGCGGTAACTTTTGAACTAGTAGCCCAATCTTGGAACTGTTTGAAATTATGGATTCTACAGGCCACATTCTATAAGAAAAATTTTTTCCCGGGTCGATCTGAGACAATTTCTTTTTCTTGCCTCCAAAAAAGGCAGAGTATACCTTCCTTTTTAGCCAAAAATCGACTGCACCAAAATTTCTCGGGAAAACACTTTTTCTTATTAAATTTGGTGCGTAGAATCCAAAACAATTCGTACTTTTTCGATCAGACTTCTCAATCAAAAGTTATAGACTAGAAACCAATTTCGAAAAAAAATTCAAAGGGCTGTAACTTTTGAATTAGTAGCCCAATCTTGGAACTGTTTAAAATTATGGATTCTACAGGCCACATTCTATAAGAAAATTTTTTTCCGGGTCGATCTGAGACAATTTTTTTTTCGGGCCTCAAAAAAAGGCAGTGTATAACCTTCCTTTTTTACCAAAAATTGACTACACCAAAATTTCTCGAGAAAACACTTTTTCTTATTAATTTTGGTGCGTAGAATCCAAAACAATTCGTACTTTTTCGATTATAGACCTCTCAATAAAAAGTTATGGACAAAAAACAAATTTCGAAAAAAAATTCAAAGGGCTGTAACTTTTAATCTAGTAGCCCAGTCTACTACATTCGATTATTTTGTCTCCTAACGATGAGCCTTGTGTCATTGCAAAGTCCTCGTTTTGGATTCAATTCCTCGACAGCATTACACGGCAGCCTTTTTTTTCAAATTTAGGGCATGTGGTGGTAAATCCATTGGCCATAAAGAATTAACTTTTTCGCGCATTATCCAGCACTACGTTAACTGACACGTTTTCCAATATCATTGTTAGAAAACTTCGAAGGTGGCTTGCAACTCGGTCTCCAAGAGGAGCATCACTAGATTTCTGATAAAGTAAAATAAATAAAGCAAAATAGGTAATTGAAGTAAAATATCGAGAAGATTTCAAAGATATTTTCACGAATCTTCCTAAGAAGTTTTTCGCAAATATTTTTAGAGATTAGACTGTGAGTGATTTTTCGCTGTTGATTCAGTCCGATTATGATTTCAGGTGATTTTCTTGACTACGGTATTTCCTCTAAGTTTTGGAAAAACATCTGTGTTTGGATTGGGGGAAATTGACACCCTCTTGAAGTTTTCCAAAAGAATGTTTCTGGGAAGAGTACTACGAAGAAGTCAAAAGAGGTTACAAAATTCATTTTTAAGGATCTTAACCGGTTTTTAAGACAGTTACCAGCATGAAGTTTTAGGATAATTCACACTGTACTCAAAGGAAGAATCCTCAATTAACCTGAAGATTTTATAGATCTGAAGGATTTGAAAAGTCGGAAGCAGTTGAAGAAGTGAACGGTTTCGGGGCTCGATCTGGCCCCCTGTGACTATTATCTCTTTCCAAAGCTCAAAAACCACTTCAGGAGGCGTCGCTTTTTATCGAATTTTATTCAATGGCATAGCGTTATTGGAGAAATATTGGAACAAGTGGGTTAATGGCAAAAAATCTTATCTCTTGCTCGAGCCCATAGTTTTTCAGGGAAATAAATTAAATTGATTTAGGCTTGGATTCAAACATGAAAAATCAAACATTAAAAAAGCATCCTCAAATTCAGGGGTAGGGGTTGCTCTCGGGGTTGAAGTTAAAATCTTTAGGTGCGCACATGAAATGCTTTTGATTTAAATGTAAAAGAAAATATCATCAGAATATCCTCCAGGATCAAGAAATTTTAAGATTTTTACAGCCCTTCCCAAGAGATTTGCTTTGTCAAGGCAAAAAAGATTGATTATTAGAACTGAATCCTTGAAAATGCACAAAAATTCATAAACCACGTGCGGCCGATAAAACAGTGCACTGAACCTTCACTTCACTGTGACACCTGAATTCTAACCTCCCACAAGAAAACGAGCTGTAACTTCGTCCGTAACCCAAAGAAAAATGTTTCGTCTTACGCGTACGCTTAACCGTCTAAAAAAAGTGAGTGTATTGCATAACAACGTACGCGAGCAAAGTGTGATGACCCAGAAATTGATGTACACAGAATACGGCGACCCCATGAAGGTTTTGCGCAAACACAACGAGGAGATAAACGACAATGTGAAGCCGGACGAAGTTTTGGTGCGTATGCTCGCTGCGCCTATTAATCCGGCCGATATCAACACCATCGAGGGCAAGTATCCGTCGAAACCTGTGTTGCCGGCCATCGGCGGGGGTGAAGGTGTCGCTGAGGTTATCGACGTCGGTTGCGAGGTTCGCAATTTCGCCGTGGGAGATCGTATTGTGCCTCTCAAGCCCGGGATGGGTACGTGGAGGACTCACGCCGCTTTGTCTCACAATTTCGTCTACAAGGTGCCGAAGAATTTGGGTATTGTGGAGGCGGCGACGCTGACGGTTAATCCTTGCACAGCTTACCGCATGCTGAGGGATTTCACGAGCCTGAAGCCGGGAGATTGTGTCATTCAGAATGGGGCGAATTCCGCCTGTGGGCAGTACGTCATACAGATTTGTCGCGTTTGGGGTT